GGGAGTGGCAAAATATATAACTTGAGGGGACTCCTCACAGAAGAATGACTCCAACAAGGGACGTTAAGAGCCGGTGTTTTACTAGTAGAAGGAGTTTGAATATAGAACGGATAATTCGTCCCCGCGATACGTGGGATTCTCCCAAAACCGCACCCGAATATCCGCTCTCTCCTGCTACCTTTCCGCTGGCCAAGCAGCGAATTTTTCGGTCGGGCAAAATCTGCCCTACTCATCCATTCGACTGCCGGCGTCGAAATCGGGGAGCACCTCCCCGCCGCTGTCGTCCCCGCCCGAGACTCACCGTCTCCCGCAAGGCGGCAATCCTTCGCCTGGGTAGTCCCAGCTTGAGAAGCCAAGTGAGCCCCAGCTGGAGAAGCCAAGTGATCAGCACCTGATCTAAAGCTTCTGACATTCGACCGTTCCACATTTGAACATGCCTTGTCTAACGTTACTGGCGATCCCTGTCCCTGAACAGGCCGCCTCTCAGCAATCCAACAATCTTCCTCCTCCACCTCCATCGAGGACGGTAGCGAGAATCGCCACCCTTTTTCGTTCTTTTTTGCAGTCGCAACCGCTTGGGCGGAGTTGGGAGCCAATGTTCGGGCTCACAACTTTCCCATTTTCGTTTCAAGATCCACATCAACGATGCTTTCAGTTTTTCTTTATTCGCAAAGATTTTCGAACGTCGTTTGCTTTGCAAATCCGGCGCCCCTCCGTCACTGGCACGATCCAGGTTCGTCGACCTTCTCTTTGGCATCCACTCCCCATCATTTGTCAACGCGCGATCAATCTTGGTTCCCCACCCCTGATTTTCTAAGTTGACCGCCAGAAAACCGATAAGAATCCCGCCGAGGCGGCGGCCGACGAGAAGACAAAATTGGAAGAGAGTGGAGAGAGCCCCTCTCATGCTTTTTTTACTTTACACTTTCTACTTCTTAACTGGAGGCCCGAGGGTAATATCGCTGATCCCTTTCACCAAGTTCGGGATGCAGGGACCTGTTGACTGTTGTTACTTCGCTGCTGCTCCGTTGAACCCAACATCTGTAGCTTCTTCCATCATACACACCTCGAGATTCTGCATACCTTGGAACTGGAGTAGGCCAACAAGGGAACATGGGCTGAAAGCCTGAAACACCTGAAAACACGGTATAAGTTTGGCAAAGGGCTGTGGCCTTCCCGTCCCGTAACCAAAGGACAATATAACAAACGATTTAGGATGTTCGAACTTCGAAGAAGACAGCTCTCGGCATCTCTGGATGCAGAGCAACATCATGACAGTCATAAAGATTATAATCTGATGTCCACCACCAGCTCGACACAGTTTCATTTAGGGTCAACACGAGTGGCTAGGCTGAAAGGATCGACAATCGAATGCCGCCTCATTCCATAGCAGTTACACGACCAAAACAACTCTCCATTGCAGGAAACTACATTCGTCCAGAACTCTCTGATATAACCGTCGAGGACAAGAGCCTCCTCTGTACAACCTCCAGACTCCGAACAAAACACATTTGCTTTTCCAGCCCTCTTCGATAGGTGTACACACACCAATCGAAAATCGGACTCGATAAGCAAGGTTGTAATTAAAACTGCTACCAAGTTAACAACCTAACCTTGTAGCCAGTTCAAGATACTCATCCTCATTTGATTTTGCATCACAACCAGATTCCAGACAGAGAGATCTGAGCAATTCGTTATCCATTCTATCTGAATACTGAAACCCGCATTCAGGAACAACGCTCAGGATGGTTCCCGGGAGTCTTGCCACAGACGCAGTAGCGGATGCCAGTGGAGAAAATACAAGCATGAAGCATAATAATCTTTCCCGCTTACAAATTTGCCATTCAGCCTCCTCTTCCTTATCAACGTTCAGCTTATTCATACAGATCAGGTCAACCAGAAAGAAAAGTTAAATGGTGGCTAAGCTACATCTGGATTCAAGCGTTTCTTTCTTCTTCTTCCATCTCCGTCCGTTACAGAAAGCCTCACTCAACAATGACTATCATGGCTGTGTAATGCTTACTAAGAATACCAAAAAGATTAAAAATTGAGGTTTCTACAATCCACTTTTCTCCTACACGTTATTACCAAAAAAAGGTGGGAAAAAATAAGATGGAAGTGATGAGGAATAATATATGATGACACTGGCGAAACACGTAAGGCCAACATCATCAAGTCGCCGGAGTTGGTTGTTCAGCTTTACAATTCCACACTCTCACTTGGCCCGTTCCGTCACCAGTGAAGAAGAGGCCACCTGGACCGGCCTGAATTGCTCGAATCTCCTGTTTAGAGAAAATTTTGCCCCTCTCTGAAAATCTGCGCGTTCATACACAATACCAGTTGCAGGCTGTCAGAGCTTGTCAAGTGTGGAGAATAGATCGGAATGCGACAAGAGATTCTGAAACTCACGATGGCAAGTCATATATCCGGACTGAGTTGTCATTACAAGAGCATAACAACAATGGCTTGCCTTCCAAATCATGCATCCCGCATAGCTTAAGGAGTCCCTGTATCATGCAAGTTTTTGCATCACTAAAACAAATCCGTACCAGTCCATTTTGTAAAATTTGGAGTATGGAGTCTTGCTTATGACACCTTAACAGGACTGTATCACATTTTACTTCTAGATGACTATCATCCCTATGAATATACAATCCCTAAACCGTAGACAGCAAATGTATTATCATCCTCGATGTCCCTCGAGATCTATGGATTTTGATTCTTGAAATTGAACGTTCAAATGGTTCATCATGCACCTCCTCTATCATTACAGCAAAGGGGAACTGATACTACAGCCTAAAGGTATGTCATCACAGTTGTGTCCTGATTTGAATAGACTTGAGATTTCTCCATGAGGGTTGGCATATACTAAAGATACTATAGTGAACATGGTCCAGCCAACAGACACACCAAAGCACTCCTAATGTGTTTAGTAAAACCAAAAAATACGGCACTCAGAAAAAAAATTCATTCACAGCCAACTTTGTTACCTCATTAATGAGGAGAAAAACACAACTTACATGTTCTTCTTGATGTGTGTATGTTACTTCCAGATCCCCTCTTTCTGTGGCGGCCCAGACCTGGAAAGGAAGAGAAAACGACTAATTCAATGACTTATTTCAGATAAACCAAGGATCGCAATTCACAATAATAAACATTTTGTTTGCCATTGTTGTTACTATACCTTTATTGTCTTATCTAATGAACTAGATAAAAGAAACTGGTCCCAGCAAAGAACAGACATGACCACTGAAGTATGCCCTGTCAAGGTTTGTACGCACTGCAAATTTTCAAGGTTCCAGACCTAGAAAAAAAGCATGATGAATATACGTAGCAAACATGAAAGTTCCAATTAAAATATAGCTGAAACAGGTAGTATGATAAGATCATGAGGGTGTGTTCACCTTTATAGAATTGTCCATGGAACCGGAGAAGAGTCTGTTAGCTCCAACAACTAATGAGACAACAGCTAACGAATGACCCTTAAGTGATGCAGCTGGCTCAAAGATGCTTGTGGCTGCATTATATCTCCATGCCAAGATTTCTGAATCCTACACTAATATAAACAGTTTTACAGTTATAAGTTCTTCATCCTCTACAACTGCAAAAGAATGACTAGAGGAAACAGGAGGATGAATAGCATCATCCAGAAGTCTAATGCAACATAAACATCCCCAATATGTCCAAATTCACAAGTTTATGAGGTTGAGCCATAGATAAGGACAAAAGGATCTATAATCCAGTGACATATTACCTGGGTGCCAGCAAATAGCAAGTCACTACCCACAACCATAGCATAAACTTGTCCAACAGGCCCACTAAGACTTAGGTCAGCGTTGGTCTGCAAGTTCCATGCCTGAAAAAATATGCAAGCCCTTAGAAACCAATTTGAAAAGGGACCATCATTGGTCATAGAAAGAACGAAGTCAGCAAAATGCAGATACTACCCTACTGACAGCATAAACTAAAAGCAAAGATCAGGCATACTGGGAATCGACTTAATTTCAAGTCTTCCTAACCTTCACAAGATTTGGGATACCGACAAAAATCCATGGACCTTCGGTGATCATACAACCTACTTCACCACCCAGATTGATAACTCCCATGCACTGGAAAAACACGACAAGTACACTATCAGAAAACTTAAACAGTAGAAGATTACAGAACAAGTAATGGATAAACTATTTATTTATACAGTTAAGACTTAAGACTATATAACCAAAGCAACCTGGCCGGATTGGCAATCCCAAATCCTGACAGTTTCATCTTGGCTCCCCGTGTAAAGCTTATCAGACCCAGATGGCAAAGCAATCCCACTGACAACCTGCTCATCATAACAAGAAGCAATCAGCACGACAATGCCGGTAGCATAATCATAATACCCTCAATAAGGAAAGAAAAGACAGAAAGCCAATACCTTTTGGTGGCCTCCTTCAAGTTGCGTCAACAAAGAGAAACTATCGCCTGAACTCCAACTATGTAAATACCTGCAGCCCTCCCCAAAAGTACAGTTCCCTTGTATCCAGTAATTACACAATTTATCCGTCTTCTTGACCACTCTATTATTCCCAGTCCGCCCCCAAGTCGACGAACTATTGAAGTTCGGGGTTCTTCGGGCGGCGGGATGGCCCGAAAACCCGGAATCGTTGGAGAACCCGCGCTTGGCAGGATGGCTGCCGTTAGAAGCACTGGCAGAGGAGTTCGGTGGCGGCAATTCCCGGTGGAGGAATGGGCAGGGGAAGCGGTTGCACTTGCCCGCCCGCCAATGGAAGCAGACTTTCTGGTTCTTGTTGGAGTCGTTGTGGTTCCCTCGCGGTCCTCCTCCGCCGCCGCTTAGCCGGTGGAAGACGCCTTTATTCCCGCCGTGAGCGTCCAAATCCATCTCCGATTATTTTAACTTCGGAGCAGGAGAAACAAACTAGGGCGCCGAAAGCTCGTCCGTCTGCTAAACTGGAGTGAGCCGGGACTATTGCAGACGAATCCGATCATGAAAGAAAACCCTAATGAGTTAAATAGAACAGCTTCAGGGGAGCCGCCGCGCTGATTGGATGCTGGAACTGATCTGGGGGCTTTGCGAAGCAGATGAAGAAGAGCAGAGTACGTAGGGATATCGGGCAGTGGCGCAAACTCCGATCTCTGTCGCTCACGCGGTGGCCAACTCGCGCGATGGCGGAAGGTGCGAAATAAGCTAAAGTAGCCAACGGAAATAGAGAAAGGCAATTATGCGACGTCACCGGCCGTGCGACGGTGAGGATGCTCATTTACCGGATCGCCCTTATAAGAACCGTGGAATACGTATTGTATACGCAGCCTGACTAATTAGTAATTACTAATTACAAGTTTAATAACGGAATTATTTAGGTCATGATTCTTGTTTTTTCTCCCTAGATAAAATTATATTTTTTTACAAAAAAAATAATTATATATTGATCGATAAAAGACAGTTACACCCTGAAATTCAGGTAGGTCTGAAAATCAAAGAAGCGACACATAGTTGGGTACAACAAAAGGGCCTTTTTAGCCACTACACGGGCTACCCTATTATAACGCCGACTTACGAATCGAACACTAAACCCTGGATGGGCAGCAAAATACTGCACTACTTCATTAAGAACAGCTCCTATCTGGTTATCACTGGTATCCGCCTGTCTGATCTTATCAATAACCATCTTGGCATCTCCCTCAAATTCTACCAACGCAAAACCGAGGTCGAGACACCACAACAGAGCTTCGTGGAGGACTAGCAACTCCACCACAGCAGGGTCATCAATGCTTGGAAACTGAACTCCTTTAGCGAGCAAGAGAGCCCGATCCTGGTTCAAAATCACCATCCTCCTGCCGCATGAGACCCAATCCTCGTAGCCCCATCCCACATACAAACTACCATGTTAGGCTCGACTGTCTCCAGCTGCTGTAGAGTGGGATGGGAGGCCGGAGACCTGACACCCCGACAACCTTCTCCATTAAAGATATTTCCCATTATTCCATATACCATGAGAATCTTAATTACACAAGTGTATAAGCTCAAATATATGTTACTTCTCTCATTTCTTAGTAGAAATAGGGGTGAGCAGTGGGTAGTAGATTGGATGGATTTCGGCCTAAACTAATTTACCCGTTTATTATGAGTTGGTATAATTGTGACTCGCAATCCATCCACATACTACTTTATATTGGGTTGGGTGGGTTGCGGTTGAGTTGTGGGTTAACCGCAAATGCATTTCTTGAACTAGTAATTAGGCAAGTTGACCAATATTTATAATAAATTTCTCACAAAATTAGTAATATTGCATCAATTATACCGCTCCCGCCAATTTATGTCTTTCTCCTATGGAAATGTCTAGTACTTTATCAAATCTTTCAATACTTCATCAACCAATTATTTAGAGAAATTTTACGTTTTTGCGACTTAATACAATTAATAGTTTTTAATTTACTCATTTCTATCTCAAAATCTAATATGCATTACACAACATAGGGACCAATAGTAATAGCCGAAAAGTATTCTATATTTTCCGTCTTTAGAAGTCAATGGTCAGTATGTAGTGTTGGTCAAGAAATACAATAACTATTCATTAATATAAATAAAAAATAATTAATTCCATGTAAAGATGGGGTGCAAGCCATTCGGGTGACCTGCAACCCACCCATCAGCCAACCAATAAGTGAGATAGGAGATCTATTGATTCGTAATCCACCCACATCAATCACCCATCAACTGATTGGTTATTTATGGGTTGACTGATGTTAAACCGCGTATTACCCACTCAACACAAAAAGATCAGCTCTAACAAGGAAACATCGAAGCGACACATGACTCATGATGCCACCTGCTACAGATGCTCTACCCAAACCGAGACGCTCCCCCATCTTTTCAGGGACTGCGTGCCGATAGCTTTTCTCTGGAACTGCATGATCCGGACGGAAACGCAGCAGGAGTTCTTTAGGCGACCTTGGGACAGCCGGCTGGAATCCAATATGACTTGTGGCGAGCTCTCACCTTTCAGCCTCCCCTGGAACTTGTTCTTCAACATTGCTTTGTAGTGCATCTGGAAAAATAGAAATGAAGGAGCGTTCTATGGTGTGGGTAAGACTCTCTTCGCCCCTTCCCTCTCCTAGTCGGTGAAATCAAGGTTGAGATATGGTATAGGGCTTGGAATGCACCGAGTCCACTGATGGGACGTGCGAATCTTGCTCTTCATCGCACCCTTTCTCAGATCGGATGGAAGCCACCCCAGTAGGTTGGCGGAAGCTCAATGTTGATGGTGCGGCAAATGTTAGCCAATGTATAGCAGGTGCATGCGGAGCCTTGCATGATAGGGCTGCAAATGAGCCGAGTCGAGCCGAGTTTTATCTCAGCTTGAGTTGGGCTCGTTAATAAACGAGTTGAGCTCGAGCTCGAATAATTTATTAACGAGCCGAGTCGAGACGAGTTCGAGCTAGTTTGGTTACTAAAATTTTGACTCGTATTTGATATATCATTTTGTATGTCATGTATGATACATGTGATTAATGTCAAGATGATAATAATAATAATAATAGTTAAGTGTTCAATATTAACTAATATCATGTTATACTTTGTGGTATCATATTATTTAGTTAATAGATTTTAACTAGTCAAAATTATGTTATATCATAGTATCGAAGCAATCTATGATACATATTTTTTTTTAAAATTTAATAAGACATATATGCTGGCATAATCTATGTGTTAAACTTCACATAGGTGAGATATATAATTTAACAATCCTATGAATTATCAAAATCAAACTCATATAGATCGATAAGCTCATAAGTTGGTAATCGAGTTGGCTATCTAGCCATAATGTTGAGAGTTGAGACATCTCATGAGCTCTAAACGAGCCAGCTCATGAGTTAAGCTCAACAAGCCACCGAGTCGAGCTAGCTCGCGAGCTCCACAAGCTGCACAAGGCTTAGCTCAAACTCGGCTCGTTAGTAAACGAGCGGAGTTTCGAACAAGTTTTTCCCGAGTTGAACGCCAAGCCGCTTGCGAGTAGCTCGACTCATTTACAACCCTAGCATGATGCGGACAACAAATGTATTGGTGGTTTCTTCTCGAACTTGGGATCTTGTTCAACCACCATGTCAAAGTTATGGGCTATCTATCATGGACTGAATATGGCGTGGAAGCTCGGATGTAGAACATTCATAGTGGAAACTGACTCTCAGTTGGCAATTCAGCTTGTGAACAACAAGACGGATCCTCTTCATCCCTATGCGACCCTTTTAACATCTATCATGCGAAATATTGGATTGTGAACCTAGTTCATGTATATCGGGAAGGGAATATAATCGCAGACTGACTCTCGAATCACAGTCTCGTCTATCCCTACTATATGCATGAATTCGATACACCTCCTAATGAGCTTCTCCCGCTTCTCTAAAATGATCTCAGAGGCATCACCTTTGCTAGAAATATAGTCTCTTCTTCCCTTGTCACCCCCTCTTAATTCCCCTCGGCTCTTTCTGTTTCTTTGGGTTTGTGCCTCTTCTTTATGAAGAAAAAAAAACTACAATCCGTTAAGTCATTCGTTGATAAAGTAGTTTTGAGAGTACATTATAACATATCAGAAAACGATTAATAATTTTCTACAAAAAAAAAACGATTAATAATTAAAACTTAAGAAGGTACCAAAAGAGTCTCTACTCTCTATTCAGTTTGATCATCTGAAACACACACAATTAGTATTTAAGAACTTAGGATCATTTGGATGAATTAATTATTTAATTACCAATGGTATTTGTAGAGTCAAATAACTCATTTATGGTTCATGTTGTATTTCGATGTTATTTTAATTGTAATTGAATTAAAGTATATCGTTTGGTTTAACCAAACACATGTGGTATTTGACACGTGGTATTTAGAACAAACAGAGAGGCGAAACGAATTATTTAGAAATAATTATGGAGTAAAAGTTATTTCAAATAACTTATTTTGGATTATTTGTAAGTAACTCACAAATCAAATAATTCACTTGAGTAAAATGCGGTCAAACAAGCTATTTGAATCCAAATAACTCATTCAAATACCTAATCCAAAAACTACCCTTACTTATGCCAACTTCGATAAAAATAGTTATGGATCTGAACTTATAAGTCCCACAAATTTCCACGAAAACATAATCTGATTCAACAATATACTTTTCATATCCATCCATTTGGTACATGCATCATAGTGTAAACAATCCATCAATCTCAATAATTCACTATCGACCTCTTGATGCAGACAGCATTTACAAATGGAAGCAGACCTCCTGCAATGGCGCTAAACTCCCTTTCTTTCTTTCTTTCTTTCCCCTGCACACCTCCATAATGCAGACAGCATTCGACAAAGAAATTCATCAGATCATCCAATTCTGGCCCCAAATCTCTTCCCCTGTTTACAACCTCCAATTCACCAACGTCGCAGTTCTATAAACATACGAGTCGGCGGGCACAATCCGCACACTCTACCAAACTGATCTCAACTGGCGAGCTTGAAAGCATCGATGAAGAGCCCGTAGGTGAAACCCATCTTGAAATTGTTGAGCAGAGCGAGCGGGAAAGTTACCTTGGGCCGACTGTAGTAGAACCGCGTCACGTACTCCGTCAGCACCACGCACACCACCGCCGCTATGACGTCGTTCACTCCCAGCGCCCCGAACGACAGCGAGATCGTCTGCGCCACGTAGAACCCTCCCAGCAGCGATATCCCTCCGAATAGGGCCCGGCGGGATGGGCTCCGGAAGTAGCCCCGGGTCAGGTCCGGGACCAGCCTTATGATGTCGACAAGCCTCCGCGGCGGGCCTCCTCCTCCGCCGCCGACGTCTTGCACGGCTCGAATTCGGAGGGTTCTCGATTGGGATCTGGAAATAGAGGAGGTCCGGGATTTGGGCGAGGCGAATTGCGCCGGATGAATCGAGGTTAATCGAAGGGGAATCGGCGAAATTAGGATGGTCGCTTGCTGCGCCATTTTGTATTGAAGGGGGATTGGGGAGCTGACTTCTGCCTGCCGCGGCGGCGGATTGAGAGGGGGTGTGAAATCTGGGCCTGAATATTGGTGGCTGAATGAAAAGAGGGGTGGCCGGGAGAAAGGGAAAGACCGAAAGAGGGTTCCATCCTCCGATATTTGGGTGAATTGTATGTTTGGTCATTCAAATTTATTAATATGTTTTTATGTTTGTCACTTAAGTAATTTATTTTTAATTCATCATTAATTCTTATATTTTATTTTAAGCATAAATTCATCTAGATGAAAAAA